TCTATATATAATATATATATAGATATTATAGGAGGGTTCAATTGAAAATGGAGAATCAATCTCAGCCACAAATTTATTTTGTCGTAAAACATTTGGGCGTACCAACGAAAATGGGCAAGGAATACACGTATGTTTTCAAACCAAACATGTTTCATTAAATTGTGCTAATCATTACCTTAATATATACAAAACATAGTTTTTGGTTTGTTTTTCTTTAACTTTTAAGAAACTATTTTTATCGAAAAATTATTTTAAATATATCAAATTTATAAATTTTTATTCTGTATAAAAAATGATCTATATTGATATAGTTTTAAGATAAAATAAAATTTTATTTTTTTATAGTTTCAGCTCTCGTTATGAATAAGTGAATATGTAACGTCACAAAAATAAGACCAAAAATTTACATTTTTAAGTTAATAAAATGGTAATCCAAAACATCATCACAAAACCAAGATGGATCAAAGTGTGTCAATACATCATAAAATATCAGAGTAAATCACAAATTGTGGAATAAGGTGGTGTGTGCTCTGCAATCAACACAGACTCTTCCCTTTCGAACCAGAAGTACCTGAAACATAAACTGAAAACCGTAAGCACAAAGCTTAGTGAGCTCCCCAAAATACCACATATCATACATAATAAACATGTAATGGGCCCCGCCTGGCATCGGGCCTTGCCCTGTAAGCATAACAACACTTAGCACATGCATAGTCACGCAGACATCTAGCATCCTAAAATAATAAACCATAGGTCGGCAAATCTGTGCCTTCAACCCGCTAAACACAGTGAGGAAACTCACCTCTAAGTGCTGAATCACTCAGATAAATCTGTGTCTAGTGGTCCGACAAATCCCCGCGCTGTCATCATAAAACACATCCAATTAATAATTGGATTACGACCCATATCTAATAGTCTAAGCTAGGGTAAAAGACTATTTTGCCCTTTATCTAACGTAGCCCAAGGCCAATGCCCAATCCAACTCTCAAAAGGCCCAAAACCAAAATGATCACCCAAATCCCAATTAAACTAAGCCGAAAACCCTTAATGGCCCAAGGCCCAAAATCGATCCATTGGGCTTCTGCTTAGAACACCTGGCGTTCCACCCTATAACGCATGGCGTCCGAATGATGGGCGTCCCCATGTAAACGCCCGACGTTTGCTCGCTGACGACCAACTTCCAAACCAATGTATTAATGGCTTAAGATCTCATTTCCAAAATTCAGATCCAATCATAATGGAACGTCTAAAGCCATAAAGTTGCAAACTTTATGGCCATGCATGGCTACAATGAGCCCAACACTAAGATCCTAACTTAAAATCAACTATAAGGCTCCAAAGCTCTTGCATGGAAGATTATGAAGACCCAAGATTACATTTTTATGATTCTAGACTCACTATTATGCTTGAAAGGACAGTCCAAACCTATGGAGCATTCCTAACTCACAAAGATCAAGTCTTTGGGACCAAAAAGAACATAACCTAGCCCCATCAAGATCTAACAAATGAGAAATCAAGATCTGAACTTTATACCTCAAAATGATGCTCCAAGACGTCAAGAGTCCAGATCCAAAAGCTAGAGAGCAACCACAATACTCCAAAGATCTTCATTTTCTTATCAAGAACACTAAATGATACCAAAAAGATGAACCAAGGCTTCAAACTCTCATACACACTTAGGGTTTTCGAAATGAGGATGGAGGCTGGAGTGGTGAAGGGTTTTGAGGCCAAAATGTTCTTTAAATAGGGTGTAAACCATAAAATTTAGGGTTTGGTCTCTGCGTGCAAACGCCTGGCGTCCATCATAGAACGCCTAGTGTTCTATGCCAAACGCATGACGATTGAACCAAAGTGCCAAAAATTAACACAATAAGGTTAAAGTGTAAATACCTGGAAACCATGGTGTTACAGAATACAAATACATCATATTTTTATTACAGTATATTCTTTATTCATATATGAATAAAACGTACACTTATTATTATTATTATTATTATTTTACAGTTTAATTATCATTCATATATGACTATAACACGTAAAAAGGTCTTCTTACCTAAAATATTTTTTTTATATCATTTTCGTCACATGTTATACTTATATATGAATCGTGTATTAGCTCTCGTCATATCTTATATTCATATATGAATAAAATATTTATCAGATTTTTGTTATACTTTATTTGTTATTTATATATGAATAAATAATATGTTAATAAGAGACGAAGTGTTTTGAAAATGTGCACTACTTGTGAGAAGAACTAATACACGTTTTATTCATATGAGAAATATAATATGTGACGAGAGCTGATGTAAAGTGAAAAAAGTTTATTACATGTTATATTCATATGTGAATGATAGTTAAACTGTAAAAAAAAATTAAACATGTTTTTTATTCATAAGTGAATAAAAAATGTAGTGTAATAAAAATTTGATGCATTTTTATTCATTTATGAATAACGAGAGCTGAAACTATAATTTTTTTATTTTATTTTATCTTGGAACTATGTCAATATAGGTGTCTATTTATAAAAAAAATTATAAATTGTGATATATATATATATATATATATATATATATATATATATAATCGTATTTCGATAAAAATAACTCATTAAATATTAAAAAACGAAATATACTACTGTTTTCTTATATCTATATCTATTATCTATATATCTATATATAAATATATATTATATATAAGGTAATGCTTATCATAGTTTAAGGAAACATGTTTTGTTTAAAAACATACGTGTATTCCTTTCCGCTTTTTGTTGGTACGACTAAAGGTTTTGCGGCAAAAATAGATTATTGGCTTGGAATGATACTCCCATTCTCAATCTTTTTTTTTAATAATTGAACTTACCTCTATCTATATCTATATATATATATATATATATCTATATATATATATATATATATCTATATATATATTCGGACCATAAATGCTTGAAATAAACTATCTTAATGTTTTTGGAAAAAAAACATATAAATCAAGATTTTTAAAGTGTTTAAATAGCCTAAATATTCAGTGCATTTTAGATAGAATTCAATAAAAAAATAAGCCATGACAAATTAAATAAAAATAAAAATAAAAAGGGGAAAAAATAAGCCTAAATATTCAATTCATATAGCAAATGTATTATAATAAAATTTGATGTATTTTTATTAAGTTATGAATAACGAGAGATGAAACTATAAAAAAATAAATTTTTTATTTTATCTTGAAACTATGTCAATATAGATGTATATTTAAAGAAAATAAAAAATTATATATATATATATATATATATATATAATCGTTTTTCGATAAAAATAACTCATTAAATATTAAAAAACGAAAAATGCTATGTTTTTGTATATATTAAGGTAATGATTAACATAATTTAAGGAAACATGTTTTGTTTGATAACACACACGTATTTTTTTCCGCTTTCTGCTGGTACGATTGAGAGTTTTGCGGCAAAAATAAATAATTGGATCGGAATGATTCCCCTATTCTCAACCTTTTTTTATTTTCTCAATTAAACTTATCTCTGTCTTTATATATTTATATATATATATATATATATATAATATATATATATATATATATATATATATATATATATATATATTGTGTTGGACCATAAATACTTGAAATACACTATCTTAATGTTTTTGGAAGAAAACATATAAATCAAGATTTTTTAAAGCGTAAATATTTAAATAGCCTAAATATCCAATTCATTTAAAGATAAATTTCAATAAACAAATAAGCCAATACAAATTAAAATTAAATAAAAATAAAAGGGGAAAAATAAGAAAATTTAATGGTTTTCACCTCAACGTTTCATTGTTTAAGTCCTGCTTCACTCACGAACGCACAACAAACACATGCACAATCAATCAATCACCGACGACTGGTTGCTACTATCAAATAGTGAGAGCTTCTATTCGTAAAATACAATTGTAAGAACTTCAAAAAAATTATATGATTCAATTAGGATCCGCAATTAGTATTTTCCTTTTAACTTTTTTTTATATATTTATTTTTTATATGTTTCATTCAAATAGTGAACCATTTGGTATTACCTTAAACTCGCCATTGTTCTCTAAACATTTGCCACGGACGGTGGTGGCGCTGCTGCAACAAAAATGTTGCGGCAGCCGAGGCGACATTCTGCTTCCTTCTTCCTTTCTCAATTGATCTCCTAGATCTCCTAGTATCTGTTAATCGTTCTCTCCCTTGATTTCAAATTGCACGACACAAGAGGATTGCTTTGCTTCCTTTTCATCTCTTTCAAACTCACGCACACATGGATTTTTCGTCCTTCTTTCCATGTAGTTTCGTTAGTCAATACCCACATAAAATCTGATTTTTAACTTTGTCAAAACCTATGAATTACCATATATACCCTTAGGTCTTTTTCCTTTTTTTTTTCTTTTAGATGAAAATGATAATATGAATTTTTTCTTTTAGATAAAAATGATAATATGAATGATTTTTTTTTTCCTTTTATTCTCTAAATTTAAAAATACCATCATAGATACGAAAATTGTGTATACTTTATTTATAAAGATACCTTATTTTTAATTAAATGGACAAACCATTCATTTTTCTACTAATTAAATTTTAGTTAATAATTGTTTGGGCTTTAAATCTTTTATTTTAACCAAACTAAAACGGGCTAACAATTAACATCTACCTTGAGCCCATAAATTATTTATCTAATAGTGGACTCCAACAACAAGGTCCAATACCATTCTTTGTAAAAATTTATATTTATCCAAATAATAATTGGAAAAGAAATACAATTAGTTGGATTTTTAGGTACTAAGTTATTGGATATTTAGGTACCAAGTTATTAAAGAAATATGTAGACATATGCATGGGATACGATGTTTATACCAATATAATAGAAATCATATAGTGTTTTAATTTATTATAGAAAACACATTTTCTGTGCTTACTTACTTGTATTCAGGGCTTGAATAATACTTAATAAATTTCCAGCCACTGATTTACATAAAACTTGATAATACATCCATCTCTTTTAACATTGAAGTAAGGCATGGGGAGTAGAATTGGGGCACCGTGTATGGCCCTTGCAATAAACTCTTTGAGATAATTTTATATGCTGCTTCTGTTAAGTGTGACCCATCCCATGAAATATATGTATCCGGATTATCACATATTGTTGGTGATAAGTCCCACCATGATACTGAATCGTTGAAACGGAGCACCCATGTAAAATCATAACATGCCTTTGAAACTTCATTTGTGAATCCTGTAACATATCAAATTCTTGTTAGTATCTATCGAGGCAATGTAAAAACTATTTCATTCCAGATGGGTGAACTTTGTGATGTTATTGCTCCATGTCTAATAGAGACATTTTATGTACCATATTTTTTTGGAGAACGATAAAATTGCATGGCAGCATTGTAGATATCAGCATATAAGAGATTTGCTTCGGGATACAACTCTCGAATTTTGTTGAGTTCTTTCACGAGAAATTCATTGTGGTACTCAGCAAGCTTGTTTAACTGGAGTAGACATCCAGTTATATTATCATACTTGGTCTTATCAAATCCTTGGTAGAGTTTTAAAAATTTTGGGAAGCATCCAATTGGTAGGGCTCCTGGGACAAGTATCGTTTTGGCCCCAAGCTCAATAAGTTCCTGTGTTTCCATTATGAATATGAAGTTAAGCCACTCTTATGGTAAGTTCTTGTAGTTAGGCTTGTACAAAAGCAAGGAAAAAAAAAATGTGTGTTTTGTGTACGTCCTTACATTAATTGCTGGTATAATGGCGTTAACAACAAATGGAACATATGTTTCAACCTCATCCATGGATTTTCCATCATCTAATGCGTCACTGTACTCGTTCATTCCAGTCTCACCCATGAGAATCAAGGAATCTCCAATTAAGTGACTACAATCTGAATATATATTAAGAGATGAGTAATTAGAACTCAAACATCCTAATGTCAAACTTTATTCATGAATGATGGTGCTATGTTCCATCGATTCAAGTATGCGATTTAACTTCTGATCTTAAATTAATTGTCTCATATGTTATGTGTTGATATGACACCTTCATTATTATTTATTACCTCGTATAATAACAATTATCATACCTATTTTATTAATCTTGTAATCCCACATGAATTTATGATAGTATACATACTAATATTATTTAAACTCATTAATGATCAATCTAAGGACGTTAGGCTAAATATTCAGTTTTTATTTATGCATAATAGTCTATTATGAACATTAATGGTAAGTTTAATGTTTACACATACACTATAATTTACTTATTTTTCTTTATAGTCCTAAACATGTAAACAAAATGAATGTTTCAACTAGTGGTGAGGTAAATACCATTTGGAACCGATCTGGACCGGAACCGAATGGGAACCGGAAATAATTAGGAACCGAATATATAATTCAGTCCGGTTCTTGGTTCATGCATATCCATAAATCAGATTATCAGTTTTCCGGTTCCAGTTTGAGTTTGGTTTGGTCCGGTTTCGGGCCCTAACAAATAGGAGTGAGAAAAAAATACTTGTTGGAAATGAACTTAATTGGAATCGAAACCGATTGGAAACCACATATGTAATTCTATTCGGTTCTCATTCCCTTCATATCCATATATTCGATTCTCGTGTTTTCGGTTCTGGTTCTGTTCGGTTCGGTTCCGAAACCGAACTCACCCATAATTTCAACATGGATTGTCACATTATCATTCAGTTTCCATACAACTTTATCACTGTTTTATACACTACATTGAACTCTACAAAATTTAAGCCATCATATTTAAAACAATTCATTTATTTCAAAACACAATTTAGGACATTTATTTAAGGAATAAAAAGTTTCTCTTTTCTTATCAAAGAATTAAATGGTGACTGAACTCTATATCCATTGAACTCGAACGAGTCATTTCACTATGATTGAGTTTAATCAATTGAATGACAATCAAACAAGCCTCCTAATTAAACACTTCTATTAAACTATACATTATGAATACTCTTAGTTAGTTATATAATGAGCTAGTTTGTTAGTTTGTATTGTGTCTTTACATAACCTTGATTGTAGCAATTCTAATACAAGTTAATCACAAGAATATTTCTCTACCAAAAATAAGACATATAGTCTAGTGGCATCTAATGTTGACATGGTGCCTCTCAGTCCAAGTGGTCGATGGTTGAAGTCTCGTATGAGATATGGATGCAATTTAGTAGTATATTAGAGTGTACATGTGTGGATGTATAAAAAAATATACATTTTACTTCCTCTTTGTTTTATTTTGTAATAAATTGAAAATTTTATGGTTCGCTTGATATATTAGATTTGAACACATACAAAGTTTATATTTTCAAACTGCCCTTATAGTTAAATGACATGTCCTATTGAAGGATACTTGAAGGAATTTATTCAAGATCAAGCTACATGTTGATAATAACAATATGGACGACGAATTCTAAAAAGGTTGTAAATAATGAAAGAATTATAAAGTTGGCTAGTTTTTTTCCCATATAGGTGGGAGGAAGAACATCTGATCGATTTATAAGGCTTTCCTCCTAACTATTCTTCAAAGCCTTCTGAGTCTCCCACTTTAACCCCTGTAAGCATTATATTTCTATAATCCTCTAAAAGTGCCACATAAAAAGCATCCATGGAATTGATGAACACAAAATGGTGATAAAGGGGTTACCTTCGCAAATGCCACGCCCCATTTACAAGAACCGATGCCTTAGTAGAAGACCGTTTTGATCTAGTCATACCAAATGGAATTAAACCCCATCTTCTACATAACCTCAAACAAGTAATCCTATAACAGGAATCGTAGATTCGTAGGCCTTCTCAAAATCCACCATGAAAATCATAACTTCTTCCTCTTAACTTTAAACCCCCAACCCCCAAACGATCTCATAAGGAACATCAAGAGTTTGACAAACTTTAATGAAGGTTAACTATTCATCACTTATCATCAACGATCCAATAAACCTAGCTAAATGATTAGCTAAAAGTTTAAAAAAATATAATATTGGCACCTAATCAAGTTAACGAGACAATAGTCATGACTAAACAGTCTAAACTCCAGGTCATGTATCTTAAGAATCGAATCAGAATGGACCTTAGGAATTAGAGAAAATCCCAATATCTTTAAATGATGGCAAAAGCAAAATCATTTGGACCGACACTTTATCCCCTCCATAGTCCCAGACAACTTTCTTTTCTTCAACACTAAAGAATGGAGATTAATAAATGACAACCAATTAGAAACAAACCTTTTAATCAAATTATTTTGAATCATAATATTTTTATCATATATTTTTTTGAATCATATGATTTTAGATCAATAATATATTCAATTAAATAAAGTTTTTGTTCAAAAATCAAATTTTAGATCATTATATATTTTTAAATCATTTAATACCCTTACAACATTCAACATTTAACCTTTGCCCGGAGGGGTGTACGTGAGACTTGTTTTTGTTTTTTTTGTTTTTTTGTTTTCTCATTAATACCCTTACAACATTTAACCTTTGTCCGGAAAATACCAAAATGTAACACATAATTACAAAATCGTCATATCATATCGCGAGATTTTGACAATAAATAAATGTAAATCTTAACATTTTAGTTTTTCAATTCTACGACAAATATTTATCGTTTGCAGTCTTCATTAATTTTTGAGTACTAATTCGATCCAACTTTTTATATATATATATATATATAGATATATATATATTATATAATATATATATATATATTATATATAAAAGTACGCCCATTGCTCTAGAATCTAAGGAAAGTGGGTTTTGGAGGGGATGTTTAGGAATTATGTTTGATTTTTTGACGAATTCTAAGGATTTTTCAACCAATTTTGTGGGATTTTAGATTGTGCGTGTAAAATTCTCAGCGCGTGTCTTTAAAAGTATATTTTTTTTTTTTTTTTCTTTAAAGGTAGTATTATGTTATCCCTCATTTACACTCAATTCTTCCAAAGCTTATTCCCGAAGAAATTCCACTTATCTATCCTCTCTCGGGTCCACTAATTGGGACAATGTGCCACCGTTTGAAAAGTCGATCTCTTCACCTCCTCCAACGCTTCCCTACTTTCTCAGTACACTACTACCTCCATTACCTCTCTCTACCCAACAACCCAATATACCTACGTTTGCCCATTTCGCCTGCCTCTATCATTCGATTAACAAGCAACTTTGAAGGATCGATATTGTCTGATTCACTTTTCATTCAGCCAGGTGAGTTCATCGATCAATGTTAATTTTAATGGTGCTTTATTTTTTTGTTTCTGATTCTAAGGTCCTGAAGTCATAATGGTTTTGAAATTTCAACCGGTGATTTACATTATTCGTCTTAATAAACTATTCCCTCATTCCAAATTTTCGTTTTTAATGAGAAATCATCTGACTATAAACAGTTTCTATTGCTTGTTTTTTTTTCTTTTCAGGAAAAAAATATATAATCTGAAACCTCTCTGTTATAACACTACTAGAAAACTAGTCCAATAGCTACAGCACAATCCGTAGCTATAAGCGAATAGCTACGGAAAAATGGCTGAAGCATAATGGCCCGTGGCTAAATTATAACTACGGATTAGCTACGGAATTGCTACGGAATAGCTACGGAATTTTCCGTAGCTATCATAACTACGGAATAGCTACGGATTTGCTACAGAATAGCTACGGAAATGGATAGCTACGAAATAGCTACGGAACTAAATAACTACGGAATAGCTACAGAAATAAATAGCTACGGAAGTAAATAGCTACGGATTTTCTGTAGGTAATCCGTAGCTAATTACTTTTCATTAAAAAAAAACAGTAAAAAATTATACAAAAATCCAGTTTTTTCTGTCCAAAATATTGAAAAAAACTCATTACATTAAACTTATAATAATATTGAAATTCAACTACGAAACAAATAACATTATAATAAAACTAATAACCTAAAAAAAGTATCAAATAAAATACATATTACTAATGAACATTGTCTAATAATACATTAAATGTTTCTACTAATACACATTAAAAGTGTCAACTACAAATGTTTAACTAAGTGCTTACAAACATAAAATTGAGAATCACTTGGTGGATTACTTGGCAAATTATTAGGTATGTTGAATCGATAAAGGCTCACAAGTGTTCTTCAATTTGAGTTTTGAATCAAAGGCCGCCAATTGTTCCTGTTTCAACACACCATAATCAATGATCACGAAAAATACAAATATAGCAACATACTTTTATTTATTTGTTTATTATAGCCATAATTGGGAACATTTTTCAAAGTACAACACTATAAGTAAGATGTTATAATAAGCATGTATATCTTGCATTTAAGAGGCAAAATATACTGAATTTAAAGTAGTTCATGGTAATTGCAGAAAATCATAAAATAATAGCATGACAAAGGCGATTGAGCATATATTAGTGAAAATCTAACTCATAGATGCTTAGTAGTTACAGAAACGTTTACTATCTTACCCAAATGCAAATAGAGTCCTTGGATTATGCTTTTCGTTCCAACCACTTAAGCAAATTAGTTGCAAGATATCCATCGGCTATATGGGGAAACAAATATATTGTACCTGTACATGGAACCCAAACTATTCCATAAGCATAAACTTGCAGGAAAACATCAACTTCAGTAATAATGACCATAAACATAAACTTCAGTAATAATAGACCATAAACATAAGTTGGGTTTAAAAGCAATCATTTTCTCAAGCGACTATTGTAGCATCTTTTCCCTTTTCAACCTGTAACAGAAGAAACAGATATAAACAATATATCTACTCCCAACAAAAGAAACAGATATAAGTTAATTTGTAACTCAACAAATATAGGTTCACTTGACTATAACCAATGTAT